GTGCAATGGCGCAATCTCGGCTCACCGCAACCTCCGCTTCCTGGGTTCAGGCAATTCTCCTGCCTCAGCCTCCTGAGTAGCTGGGATTACAGGCACACACCACCATGCCCAGCTAATTTTTTGTAGTTTTAGTAGAGACGAGGTTTCACCATGATGACCAGGATGGTCTCGATCTCTTGACCTCGTGATCCACCCGCCTCGGCCTCCCAAAGTGCTGGGATTACAGGCTTGAGCCACCGTGCCCGGCCTAGGATACCTTTTTTAAAAAAATTGCTAGATGTATGATTTTTTAAGGAAATGCTACTGATGCTTATAAATCCATATAAAATCATTCTCTGGAGTGTTCTACATACCACTTTATTTCTCATCAGAAGTTCAGGCTCTAAGTCCTTACCGTGGCAGAGCCCGTGTTTGTTATGTGATGGTAAACATGCATCTCACTAAGCTGGTACAGGTGATACATTCATACCTAACTTGTTACACCATCCAAATGACCGTTTGATAAAAGGGTCTTTTATTTTAAGTTACTTCAGGCAGATTCCCACGGTCTTATTTGCACCCAACCCAGGTACAGCATGTTAAAGGAGAAAAAATAAACCTTACCTTTTTAGTCCTACATTTGATCAATAGCTGTTTATTGGCTACCTGGTGTATGCCACACACGGTACAACATAGGTACCCTGGTAATGAATGGATGGTAAGAAATGTAGTTGCCAGCCAGGTGCAGTGGCTCATGTCTGAAATCTCAGCACTTTGGGAGGCCAAGGCAATCATATCACTTGAGGTCAGAGTTCAAGGCTAGCCTGACCAATATGGTGAAATTCTGTCTGTACTGAAAATCCAAAATTAGCTGTGTGTGGTGGTGCATGCCTGTAATCCCAGCTACTCGGGAGGCTGAGGCAGGAGAATCACTCGAATCTGGAAGGCAGATGTTGGAGCGAGCCAAGATCATGCCATTGAAATAAATAAGTAAATAATTGTAGTTGTTCTATATCGGCAGTTCCCAACACCCAGGGGACAGACTAATACCAGTCTGTGGCCTGTTATAAACCAGGCTGTACAGCAGGAGGTAACTGGTGGGTGAGCAAAGCTTCATCAGTATTCACAGCCACTTTCCATCACTGGCATTATAAATCAGCATCATCATCAGATTATCATAGGAGTGCAAACCCTACTGTGAACTGCACATGTGAGGGATGTAGGTTGCACACTATTTATGATAATCTAATGCCTGTAGATCTGTCACTGTCTCTCATCTCCCCAAGATGAGAACATCTAGTTTAAGAAAAACAATCCCAGTGCTCTCAATGATTCTACATTATAGTGAGTTGTATAATTATTTCGTTATATATTACAATATAATAATATCAACTAAGTGCACAATAAATGTAACATGCTTGAATGATCTGAGAAGAAAATCATCCAAAAGAAAATCATCCCATCACATCTATGGAAGAACTGTCTTCTGCAAAACCAGACCCTGGTGCCAAGAAAGTTATGGACCACCACCCTGCAATGTGCAATGCCTGGCATACACCAGGTAGCCAAAGAAATTCCTAGTGGGGTTAGTCAGAGATTTTAAAAGCTGTATTTGTCTTTCACTTGCTTGCTTTGTGTTTTCTCTTTTTTTCACTTTTCTCAGAGACAATGGAGTAGGACTATATACAATGTGTAATATTTCTGGTGGCTTGATTACTTTAACATCTTCTTTATTCATTTTGGTGTACCTTCTTTTTTTATTTTTTCACCCCGCCCCACTGGTCTACCTTCTTAGACTAAGTTACTTTCACTGTGCTTCTTTGAAAGCACTCAGCACATAGTCCAGGTTTATACTCAGACCAACACTGTCAGGGTTGGGTGGGTATGTTGGCCCATTTTACAGGTGCTTCATGATCTACACAGGGGTTCCCAATAAATGAAGCTCAGGATTCACAATTCCTAACTACTGCCAAGACCCATGGAACAGCTGCTTTATAGAGTCAGCTTGATCTCAAAGAAGACTTAGCTTTAAATGTATACTGCTTATTTACCTCTGTGCATAGGTGTGTTGTTACTTTTAATAAAGAAGACCAATTTTTAAACATATAAATTTCATTGAATTTGAAGGTATAATAATAATAATAAAAACTTCAGCCATTGGTGGCAGTGTCATTGAGGAATATGCTGATAGGCATCTTTTTAGTAGTTTTTCTACTTCAGGGCAATGACCTTACAACAATGTAAAACCTTACAACAATGGTTGTACCGATAAAATAATGTTCTGGAAACTCAAAATCTACATACAGAATAAAGTGGTATAGTTTGAGATGAGGAAGCTTTGTGGGTATCCACTGTGGATTTCCGTTCTAGAATTTTGAATTTTTGAGTGTCTTGCTTTGGGAAAGGATACTACTGGTCTTTACTGTACAGACACTGGAAATACTGCTCCACAGGTCACCGTGCCCAGACAGCCCCGAATGTCAGCAGAGCTGAAGTCAAGGAAGCCTGCTTGAAAGGTAGAGTCGTGGCTTTTATTGCATCCACAAGCACACTGGGTGCATTCCCTTTATTGCATGTGCTATATTTAGAAATCTGAAAATTCAGGCCGGGCGCGGTGGCTCAAGCCTGTAATCCCAGCACTTTGGGAGGCCGAGGCGGGTGGATCACGAGGTCAAGAGATCGAGACCATCCTGGTCAACATGGTGAAACCCCGTCTCTACTAAAGCTACAAAAAAAAATTAGCTGGGCATGGTGGTGCGTGCCTGTAATCCCAGCTACTCAGGAGGCTGAGACAGGAGAATTGCCTGAACCCAGGAGGCGGAGGTTGCGGTGAGCCGAGATTGTGCCATTGCACTCCAGCCTGGGTAACATGAGCGAAACTCCGTCTCAAAAAAAAAAAAAAGAAATCTGAAAATTCATAAATTAGGTAAGCTTTTATTTGCCTCTAAGGTGCCATGGTTGGCAAGGTCAAAGTTTAACAAGAAGCTTGGGATTGAGGAAAACATTAAGTGGTGTTCAATGCAGTCGAAAACTCCATGGTAAATAAGAGTTCTAGCACTTACGTGTTTCTAAAACAAATGAGATGCACTGGCTCTGTAAAGCTGTTGTAGTAGGTGGCTCAGTTTTCCCAGTCACCTTCTCAGTTATTTAAGAAACTCACCTGATTCTGTCATATGCCAATCTTCCTCATGTTTTAAGTTATGTGGAGTACATCTTTCAAAAAATTGTTTGAACTAGCTCTTACTTGCTTGACAGTTAATGTTTTTGCATTCATAGTCTCCCTTATTTTAATTTCTCAAGGTTTTACAAAATTCTTACACAACAATCTGCTCTTTTCATAGAACAGTGTTTTCTAGCCAGGGATTCTGTCCATACACGTCCTCTTGAGAGGGTGGATGTCAGCCAGCTTCCCTGGCTGAGAAGAATGGGGATAATACAGGGATGCAACAAAGGAGACAGTGATAATTTTTTTTTTTTTTGAAACGGAGTCTCACTCTGTCGCCCAGGCTGGAGTGCAGTGGTACCATCTCGGCTCACTGCAACCTCCACCTCCTGGGTTCAAGCAATTCTCCCGCCTCAGCCTCCCAAGTCGCTGGGACTACAGGCGTGAACCACCACGCCTCACTAATTTTTGTATTTTTTTTTTTTTTTGAGAAACGGGGTTTCATCATATTGGACAGGCTGGTCTTGAACTCCTGACCTCGTGATCCGCCCACCTTGACCTCCCAAAGTGCTGGGATTACAAGCATAAGCCTCCACGCCCGGTCAACAGTGATAATTTTTATGTTCTGGGATCCCAGGCCACAGGTCAGAACTGTCTAGTATAATGAAAGGAGTGCCACTCGTATGACTTTTGTCCTCCCCTCCCACTTTTCACCCTATTACACAAGCAGGAGATATGCAAAATAGAAGGCAGGAAGATGAGGAGACTGAATTATAGAAAGGGGCTTTCTACAGTAAGCGGACAGTTGCCCGCAAAGCAATCTGGGCTCCACTTATGTGAGAGACATGCGAAACGCTTGAGAATAGTTGTTTTAAAATTCTTCGATCATGGACAGACTGGAAGCATCCCACTGATGTCAGTTGCCACGTGCCCAATGCCTGTTCTCTGCAGAAACCTTTGCAGTCCCATACCTGGGAGTGAGTTCTGTTCCTGCAGAATGCCCTATGCATTCTGGCGCTTTTTTGCCCTCTCCTCTAACCTATGAGCTGGCAACTCTAACTCTACATTTTCACTTACAACTTCTCCAAAGCTTTAATCTTCTGTCATCTTGATCACACTATACAAGTCCCTCACCCTGCAAGTACTTGTAAAAATGAAAGTAATCTCCATCCTTTCTGGAAGGTGAGTGCCATGCACACAACCTACTAGGCCACGAACATTGCTGCTGGCTGCCTCAGTCACCAGGCTCTCCCCAAAACTGCTCCAGTCACTGACTTTGGCTGTTTAATCACTTCTGACCTAAGGCCCTCATTGAGTCATAAAAGCTGCTTAATTTTCTGCCGCCAGTTTCTCCCTACTGCTGTTAACCTTCCACCCTACCGCCAGAGTAATTCTCAAAAACTAAAGCTGCTCTTGGTGTTTGCCTAGTAACATTTCTTGGCTCCCTGTTGCCTACAAAAGAAAAATCCAAACTCCTTAACTTGGTTTACAAACACCCTCATCTGCTTCCAAACCAAATTGCTAGTCTTGGTTCTTGTCTGTATCTTCCACGTCACTGCCACATTGAACAATTCCTCACTGCCTTTGCTGTGGCATGGGTTGTGT